GAGACCAGTTGTTGGAGGTTTTAGAGGATGTGAGGAGACCAGTTGTTGGAGGTTTTGGAGGTCCTGAGGAGACCAGTTATTGGAGGTTTTGGAGGATCTGAGGAGACCAGTGTTTGGAGGTTTTGGAGGATCTGAGGAGACCAGTTGTTGGAGGTTTTGCAGGACCTGAGGAGACCAGTTATTGGAGGTTTTGGAGGTTCTGAGGAGACCAGTTGTTGGAGGTTTTGGAGGATGTGAGGAGACCAGTTGTTGGAGGTTTTGATGGACCTGAGGAGACTAGTTGTTGGAGGTTTTGGAGGTCCTGAGGAGACCAGTTATTGGAGGTTTTGGAGGATCTGAGGAGACCAGTTGTTGGAGGTTTTGTAGGACCTGAGGAGACCAGTTATTGGAGGTTTTGGAGGATCTGAGGAGACCAGTGTTTGGAGGTTTTGGAGGACCTGAGGAGACCTGTTGTTGGAGGTTCCCCAGGAGGTTCTCCTGGGGAGACCAGTGGTTGGAGGTTTTTGAGGGAATTTCTTCCCATTCTGGTCTTATTGAGGATTCTAGCTGTTCAACAGTCCTGGCTCTTCTCAGCTGGATGGGAGCATTTGTTCAAAAATCTGTAGATACTTTTTGCAATGAATGAGCCTTTCCAGATGTGTGAGCTGCCTGTGCCAGAGGCTCCAATGCACCCACATACAGTCAGAGATGAAGGCTTTGAAATCTACACTACTAACAGGCTGGATGGTCCCTCACCTCTTTATCACTGAGGACTGGTGTTTGTGGTTTCCAAACTTAAGTTCAGATTTGGATCTGTCTGACCTCAGAACAGTCCAGAGAAGACGGCAGCGATTCTAGATGGTGTTCACATACGGCTTCTTCTTTGCCTGATAGAGCTTTAAGCAGCATTTGTAGATGGCACGGTGAGCTGTGTTTACAGACAGTGATCTGTGGACGTGTTCCTAAGCCCAGCAAAGATTCAGACCTGGTTTAATGTAGGAGGGTCTGAAGATCACAACCATCCAATATTGGCTTTCATCCTCACCCTTTCAGCCACAGATACTTCTAATCTATTAATGATGTCATGAACTGTAGATGATGGAGGTTCAACGTCTTTTTTTTTCTGTTGAGAAACATTTTTTCTGAAATTGTTCTGGTATTTTCAGACAGTTGTTGCAGACCAGTGAACCTCTCCTCATCTCCTCCCATTTCTGAGAGATTCAGCTTCTCTAAAATGTTCTTTTTTTAATAGCCAATCCTACCGACTGGTTGCCAACTAACCTAATTAGTTGCAAAATGCTCATACGGCTGTTTCTTATTCTTACCACTTACTGCTGCAGCTGTTTGTTGTGCTCGTTTCCACTTTTTGGAGATGCGTTGCTGCCATTAGATTCTAAACTGCTTTTTTTCCCTCCCTACATGGTACACTGTTTTTATTTCAATGTTTACTGTGTTTATTACGTTCCATTTTAAATAAAATATACATTTAAGGGATTCTGTTAATGGCATTTTACACACTGTGTCAACTCTTTCTGAATTGGGATTTTACACAAATAAAGTATTTAATCCAATCTTTGTAATAGTGGGTCAAATATTATTAACCAGTGCAAGAGAAATAACAGAAAATTGCATAAATGGTATTTAGGCAACATGCAGAGCACAAGAGAGAGAAAAAAGATAATGATCTTGAGCTTTAGGCAAGAAATATGAAGTCTTTTTGTAAGAAATGTTAGCGCCTGCAGCAGTAAAGTTAAACATCATCCTTTAGTGCTCTGCGGAATTAGAATGAGAACAGCTGACTTTTAACTACAGGGATTGTTAAAGAGTACAATGTGTGAAAATTACACTGTGTGTTTAAAGATAAAGCCATTGATTTGTGCCTGAAAACATCTCTCATCTCTCCATCCATTGCCCTGTCCACCAGCTCCCTTCATCATTTTTGTCATCTATTATCTCGCTCCCCTCACTCCTAACTCCATCTTTGACATTTGATTTCTTTCTCGATTTCTTCCTGACATTTCTGCTACATGCTCCTCATTCCATAATTTCTACAACCATCAATTTGTACTTTTCTGATTTGTTTCATTCGTCACCATCTGTCACCTCATTTTCTTATTCCTTCTTCAAAGGTGCTTATTTGTTTATTCCCATTGTTGCCGTTGGACATATTGTGTCATTCTATCCATCTCTGTCTCACAGTACAAACAGATGTAGGTCTGCTTGGTGTTCTCAGCACCCCCAGGGACGGTGCAAAGCTTTTAAATCTAGTTTTGTTTGAAGAAACTGTAATGTTGCATGTTTGTCTACTTAGTTTGTGATTTGGGGATGAAAAGTGGGATTTTAAAGCATGGATTGCTGCAAGGTGTTTCTTGTCAGTCACAGAGCTTTTTTATTTATTTATTTATTTATTAGGGGTATCAGTACAGAAGCAGCTTTGGAAAATCCTGCACAAAACATTAAAATGGACTGCCTGATCAGAAATCAAAGCAAAAATGTCCATGCTTTTAACAATGGCCAGATCTTTCTTGGAAAAAATAAAATAAAATAAATAATCTCACAGAGACTTTCATTTGGATAAATTAAGAATATCTTTGAGATTTTGGTAAAACGAGTAAACTCAGCCCTCTCATTCTGCACAGTAGAAATATTCACAATTCAAAGGGGTCACAGAAAGTTGGACTTTTTGCGACTGAACAGCTTTTTTTAACAAGTACTCTTAAAGTTGAATGATTTATGAAAATGTTACCACATACTGTCCAACTCAGCGTGATGATGTCATCCATTCTAACCTTTCAAATGTTTCAACTTTCCAGATGTTTTCTAGCGCTGTTATTTTCCTCTGTATTTCTTAAAACGAACTTGTTTTAGACAAATTGAACCCTCAGTTTTACATTCAGATTTGCCTTTTTTGTGTAAATGGTTTACTGATCTGCAAAAAAATCACTGTGCTTTAAATTATTAAATGAAAAAAAAAAGTTTTTATAAATGTTGAGAAGTTCTGATTACAGTATTTAGTAAAACATAGTTGACCAAGATCTCTGAGAATGCTGAAATAAAAAAATACAACATGAATAAAACATCTCAAAATACAATTTTCATTAATTTTTCCCTAACCATTAATGTTTTTCCTAAACACAATATTAAATAATTCTATCTAATTTAGCCTGTTGCTTGGGATTCACTTGTTTAAATGGGGTTTTATTTCAAAATATGTATTTCCAGTTTGTGATTTGTTCCAGAAAGCAGGTACTTCCAAAGAAAGAGAAAAACGAATAAAAATCTAGTGGAGCTTGTTTTTAAAGTTGGCATTGAAATGTAAAATAACGCTGGTTGCAGGAGGAGGATGAGACGGATTTCACTGCTCCAATCCTTAGAAGTGCTTCTTGATCAGTTTGCCTTTAGGTAAAATGTGGAAACTTCACACTGAGTTTTCCTGAGACGTTTATTCCAACTCAAACCCACACTGGAAGGGACTGTGGTGAAGGATTTTCCATGCAAATTGTCACATCTTTGTTAAAGCCTCGACTTGTTCAAAAATACGTTGTTTTCCACACAGAAACTGAGTGAGTAGTAGTGGAGATCGTTAGTTTTAAGGCATTGAAAGCTGAGTTTGGATGCTAATTTGAACAGAGCAACAATGATGTCACTAATTTTTTATGAATGTAGATTTTTTAAATTGGCAGTCTTACACAGTGGATCAGTGGTTAGAGCTGTTGCCTGACAGTGAGAAGGTCGCAGGATCAACTCCCAGTCTGGGACTTTTTAGTGTGAAGTTTACATTTTCTCCTCATCTACGCATGGATTTTCTCTGGGTATTTTTGGTTCCTGCAAATGACCAAGAACCTGCATGTTAGGTTTATTGGAGACTCTGAACTATCCCTAGAAGAGAGAGTGAACTGTGTCCCTGTAATGGACTAGCAACCTGTCTTGTGCACGACAGCTGGATAATAGACACCAGCTCCGTGCGACCTGAAAAAGAAAGGCGAGTTTTGCCCCATTTTATGTTTGTCTAAATGACCCCTTCACACTGGATGCCACCCTTGCTACGACGTGTCCTCGTGGTTTTGAAAACAAGTGGACTTGGCTTCTGTAGTTGAGGTTTCTTCACGTTTCATTCAAGGAGCTTTTTCAATTCAAAAGAAAACGGTGGCGTTCCAAGCTTTTCAAATGCAGTGACATGCTTTGATAACGCGAGCAGGAATCACTCCCGCTCCGGTCCCTCCCGAGGATCAGCGGGGTCTCTGTTGAATCTGGTTCACAAGAGATGTTTCGGTCATGTGTCAAGGTGTCCGAGTCATTTTCATGTGATCACTAATGGTTTAAGAAAACCATCAGTTAAGGATTAGACAGAAGCAATACATGGCACAGCATGGTGTGTATACCCTGTAACCTTAGTGGTGTACTGGTATGCACTAGTGGTGTAGTCTACATTTTTATAGTGGGCATATTGTGCTTAGAAACCAATGTACAGCACACCAGTTAGTATTTATTTAGATTTTTTTAAGCATATTGAACATTTCCAAATTTCTCTGATACTTATATTTGAATAAGTGTACAACAAACTTTGTACAACTGTTTGTTTTGTATTAAAAACATGTTGTAGAATTTATAAAACAGTATCAAAGCAAAAACATGTCAAGTATTATGTAGTAAATACAGAATTATACAATAATTTGCTGGATAAGTGAATATAATAAATAAGTGTTGCATACAGATAGACTGTTACGGAAGCATTTTAACGTATCAATGACACGTGCCATCATGTATCATTGAGCACTTTTAAGTGGTTATACTGGACTTTGTATGCTTTTCTAGTGGGTATACTCTGTATGAACGCGTGTCGCGTAGACTACACCACCGGTATGTACAAGTATGTGCCTGGTTGTACTGAGTACTGCTATTGAACACACAAAGTAAAATTTACAATTTAATATTTTCAGTGACATTGCAACAATGTAAGAAAGCATTTGCTTTGATTCAGTAGTATTTCTGACTTTACATTAATGTTTTTTTGTCCACAGTCTACCCAGCTGACCCGGACTACTATGGACGCCCAACAGTCCAAGAGTTCCCCCAGTTTGACATCGTCGAAGACACCTACTCCACCTCTACTGTAGAGTCTCGCAGGAACTCTCGGTTTGGCGGCTTCCCGTTTCCATTGGACCGCTGTGACCGCCGTGCGCCGCTTCCACCGTGCTACAGTAACCAGAACCTGGATGACTTCTTAGGTCCAGACGGGCTTCCCCTCCCAAGCCCTCAGTGTCCAAACGAGTACACCGCCATCAGCTACTACCCCACAAAGCACACGCGCAGCCTTGACAACAGCTCGGGAGGCTACAAGAGGCTCAGCATGCGTCTTAGTGTGGCTATGCCATCCTATGCAGAGCAGGCCGGCCAGTCTTCAGCGCCAAATCCCGCCCAGCCTCAAACACGACCCGCAAGGCAGAACCCATGTAACTTAGACGGATCAAGCATGGTGGGGAGCGATTACGGAAGCTGTGAGGAAGTCATGTTTTAAAGCAAAACCTACATGTTCGTTATCCGCTCTGATCGTTTGTTTGGGGTTCACAAGTAAACCCAACATGTAGATGCCACCTGACTATTCCTCTACGTTAAGGCAGCTTAGTGTTCGAGTACATTTCAGAGATGGGTCTCACACCAACTCAGGAGATCAAGTCCTTTTCGTTTATTCTGCTCTCTGATGTACGAGAAAGCACCGTGGCAAAAACCGCTCAGACATTGGTTGGTTTGAATTTTAGAGTATTGTCTCCCTGCATCAGAGTCAATGGAGGTAATTCAAGACTCTTCAATTACCTCTGCAGCAGAAGTTCAGTTGAAGTTCATCTTTTTGTAGAGGAGGCTCTGCCGAGCGCGCTCACCGGCTCAGTGGGGGTTGAGAAATTATCAGCAGTATTACTGACTTGTCTGTGCACTGTTTGGAAATCAAAACCAGACAAAATAAGACTGTTTCATCTTCAGCAGGGGCGGCTTCTGCCTCTCGGGAGACTTTGAAACACGTTGAAACAAACGTGTAGCACATGAGCTCCAGCTTTTCACTCCACGGGTCTGACAGCTTGTACAACACCGATGATGAAAACGTGTCTGCACTGTGCGCTGCGCTGCACAGGAAGTCGTCGGCGAGGTTGTGTGAGCATTTCAGTCCAATATATTTTCTAACGGCATCAACACCAACAAAACCCAGTTTAAATGTGTTAACGGTGACTTGCTGCAGATTGGTTTGTGAAGTAGACGTGTGTTTGAACGTGTTTGTCGATTCAGCAGATTTAATGTAGAGTCCACTTTCTTTCTCGTTTTAATGAACAGAGTCCAGATTTCGCTTCAAAGATTTTCAGTGCTGCTGCTCTTCATGTTAATGGGGACACCTAATCGGGAAGTTTTTGCAGCAGTAAAGAAAAGCCTATGCAGCCATTTTAAATGGTGCAAATATAAACAACACTCATATATTTGTGTGGGGGAAAAAATCTTGTTTAGGTCCAAAGCTCGTTGTGCTGCATACAGCACATTAAAAAGTGAATGTGTGTTAAGTTGATGTTTTGCCTGATCAGCAATTTATAACATCCCTTATCGGGATGTGCTACAATTTTCAACATATTCGTAAAAAAATTATCTCAAATTCTCTTTTATTTATAAAACTTTCTCTTTTATTACTGTGGTCTTAGATATTAAATCTCTGAAAGTTCATGTTACCCCAAATCTGCAGTAATGTACCGACCTTAGATGATGATATAAAGAAAGACGCACAATAAACAGAATTATCGTATAAAAATATAAAAGCATGTTTTCTGTATTTCTTGTAAAAGTTTAGTCACCTGTCATGTAGAGCATTCTCCAAAACCATTAAAGCCTTTCATTAAGAATAAGTTTTTAAGCCAGTAGAGTGATGACCCATTTAACTTAGAACAAATGTAAATAAGTTATAACATGTTAAAAAGAAGCAAAAATTAACCCTAGGCAAAATAAGCTTCACCTGAGCTGCACAACTAAGTTGAATTTATTCTACTCGTGATATTTAAACACTTAAACGTTCATTTGATCATAACTTTCATCACTACTGTCAGTAATATTTTTCACATTGTCCAAACAAAGATTTACTGGAGCTGTTAACTAAAATGTCTTTTTGTTGCTACATTTACTGAGGATATCAAAGCGATGGTATCTCACTGAGGTGGGACTAGTTGGAGAAAATTGTGGAGAAGTTGCAAGAAACCATGAATTTTCAGATGCATTCTCACTGATCTCTAAATGTTTGCAACTGTGTGCGGCCGCCTTTTGAGCAGTCAGGTTTTTTCTTTAAATTATATTTTATTTTCATGTGCACAACTTGAAGACTGCCTTCTTTGCCATGCTGCCCACCTCGACTTGTTTTGTACCCACCTTGGCAACTGCTCCCACATTTATGATATGATCTGTTAGAGTTCACTTTATAAGCAATGACAGACAGATATGGACCGGTCTTTATAAATAGTTTGCTGACTAGTCCCGGCCCAGTGAGGTACCACTCTAACCAGCTGCTTCTGACTCGTTTTCCATTTTGGCTAGAACAAAAATGAGCGCATAAACTGAAAATATATTTGAAATTTTAGAGAGGAAAAAAACAAACATTTTTAAACAAACTATACAAAATCTTTAAAAAAAAAAAAAAAAGTTATGATAAATAACTAGTAATTCTAATAAGTTTTTTTTTTGTACCTTTAAGATTTTAAACATTTTTAATAATCAAACTTTAAATGTTGAGGGTCATGTTTTCTTCTTTTTTTAATTTTTTTTGCCACAAATGTGTTTTCAACCAGGGGCGATTCTAGAATCTGCCCTTAGGGGGGGCTTAGCCCCGTCACTGCTAGATCTGTTACGGAAGCCGATCCGTAGTGTAGCTCATTTGCGCATGCGGGTCACACTGGTCATCGTTGAATATGCTAGATTAAGCTAGATTAAGAAAAAAAGTACTGGAAATAATTACTTGATATTAATAAATATATATTTATGAAACAAACCATATTTCTTCATATTAATTAAAATATTTCTTTCTATTGATTAATTTTCCTAGACAATGTTGTAATTCCTTTTATGAATGAGAACTGTCTTAATTTACTTAGAAAAGTACGTGCTCTATCTCCAGCGATCTTCATGTAGCTAATTTACGCCACTCGTAATTCCGTTAAAATCATTGACATACTTACATCATTGGTTAAAATGATATGCCGCTGCACCACTGAGTGGTGCTGTTTCACCATGCAAACGATTCATTCTGTATCTTGCAGGGTTTTCTCATCCAGCCCAGGCTGGGACGTTGCATATCATCTTAACCAATGACGTAAATATGTCATTGAGTTTATTGGAAATACGAGTGGCGTGAATTAGCAACATGAAGATTGACAGAGATAGCGCAAGTACTTTTCTAAGTAAATTAAGACAGTTCTTATTCATGAACAACAGCGATTCGTGCAACCCGGAAGTATTCCTTTTAGCGCATGCACAAATGAGCTGACACTACGGATCGTGCTTCCATAACAGATTGGGCAGTGACAGCCCCCAGTGTTGACAATAGCTCTTGGCTTCAACAATGCGGTGGCCATTGCCATCAGAAGCATTTGTAATTTAGAGGGGTCCTCCCCCAGAAATTTTTGAATAAACTAGATGCCATTTCCTGCTTTCTGGTGTATTTTAATGGGTTGTTATACATCTGCATTTACCTACATAAGTAAACACTTGATTCAGTAACTGTTTTATAGAGCAACATGAAGTAGCCTGACCAACAGCTCTCCTTGTGTGAATAGAGCACACTCCACTTCTCTCACGCATCCCTCTAAACAATCATTTTAGCTTGTCTAAATCACATGTTCTCCACTGACAACATTTAACCAGTTTTTATGGTGATTTTTCACTAAATCCCTCTGTCCACAAAGTGTTCATAATGTAAAACCCCGACAAAGTTGTCGGAGGTAAAGGGGGTGGAGCTCCTGCAGGTAAGGGGCATTTCACTTCAGGACAAATTGAGATTGCTGATTGGTCAGTTGCTGACGAGCCTACTGGACTGATTGACAGATCGAGGTTCTGACTCATGCAAAACAAATGTATAAAAATCATAGATTTTACTAGCCCGTTTAAGAGTGACATCATTTATTCCATATTTGCTCCATAATTATTCAATATTTTGGTGAATCTGAGGTTTGAGAACTTAGCTTCCTTACAAAATTTTAATGATGTTTTCTTAATTTTTCACGGGTGCCAAGTTAAAATTTAGGGGTACTTGAGCACCCCCAAAAAGAGGCTAAAATCGCCACTGAGTTCAACAACTGCCGATATATTCCAGTAACGATTTAACTACAGTCCCTGTTTTCTCTAATGGCAGTTTGTCTGTTACAACTAAATCATGTAAAGGTTTTGAAAAAGTTGCTGAATTTATGTCTGTATTCTTTGTACTCTCGTCATACACTGGTTTTAAATACACCTCACTGCTGTTTTACCTGCAGCAACACGTCATCTGGACTAAAGAAATCCTATAATCAGACACTATGATGTAAATAAAATTCAATGTGTTGTTGTCAGCTAGAATAAAAACCACTTGAATGTATGTTAGGAATATTTTTGTTTGATTTATAAAATTTATTTTTGTATCAGTGTGGATTTATCCGTGTATTTTTCAGTTTTATCTCTGTAAGAGATTTTTTTTTTAAAGATGTTTCTTTTTGTTTCACAAAAACTGTAAAAAATAATGTGAATTAAAACAACTAAACATGAGACTTCATGCTGTGAAGTGTGGTTAGTTTTATGTCATGCTTGTTTTCTAAACTGCCACCTATAAAATAATGTCACAGTTAGTGCTTGAAGTTTGTTAGGAATGACACTCGGCTACGGCCACACACACTTTTAAATCAGTGTTTGCAAAACTAGCTGAGCTATGTAGATTTTAGTTTTACTAACTTTGATTAGTTGTGGTCAGGGGGCTGTACCTGCACAAACAATAATGCCACTATATTAGCACAAGGAACTAAAGCAAATCTGGCAAAATAATGGCAATTTTAAGTTATTTTTGATTGTGCAAATCTTTACCAGTTATATGAATTTTAAAATACCACCCTTTTCAGCCTAACTAATTTAAAAAAGGCTAAATCATCCTTTTTGTGGCAAGTTTTAGAAGTTGTATAACCGTAATCTCATTTTGACCAGTGAACAGTCATAATCATTTTGAGGGTTATGTTAGAAAATTTAAATCTGTGAATTTTACTGTCATTAAAAATACAGGAAACCCACACGATTGGTGATATTACAGGTGAACAGCATCAGCAGAAACAATGTACAAGTAACTGATTTGAAGTGTACTTTTCTATTTCATATTTCATCAGTAACTGTAATACATTTATCTCTACACAAAACCTTGTTCATCAGCTTAAAAACAAATATACCTCATGTATTGCTTTATGTGCTCCCTCTGTGGCTGATTGAATTCAAGCAGAACGCCTGTCGTCTCCACCTCCGTCCGTCATCTTGTTCTGCTGATGCGTAGTCAGGATGTGGAAACAACAGGTTCAGGAGAGAAACTCAGACATCCTTCTCCCCAGCGACACTTTCAGCTCATTCTGCGGGACCCCGAGGGGTTCCTGGGCCAAAAAATATATACGATTCTTCTAGTGAGTTCTGGGTCTTCTCCTGGGCCTCTTACCAGTAAGATGTGCCCAGAAAACCTCTAA